TGAAAGATATCAACATTCCATCGATCACAGGAGTCCTTGCGAGTTTCGAGGATTCGCCAATACGGTTGAATATACAAAAGAACAATGACTCCGGAAAATTACGACTTGTGTTTTGGTTACATTTGGACATCGGCTCCATCTCGATGACGTTTGTCCAAGTCATAGATGTCGAAAATGCGAAGGATTCGGCTAAGGGGAACGACGCGGCTACCCCTAACCCTAGTTCTACGAAGGGGGCAACGCCAATGACAAAACCAAAGCCGAAACGCATACTCCGTGTGAGGGTTGATCAGATACCGTCTTTACCGAGTATTCCTATTGTTGGTTCTCTGCCGCAGCCATTTGACAGTCTTGAATATGTCTGGGTTGACGGTTCTGGCGCTGATCAACCCACAACTACCAACGATGGTTCGACCTCCGGATTTACCGGTACAGAACTTGATGACATAAACAAAACCCTCGGAGATGCTTCAATTCACTACCGAAATCCGACCCCGCATGTCCCACGTCCAGAACCTTCCCCGACGACGACCTCAAAACACGAAGAGAAAGCTAAGGTTGAGAAAGCTGAAAGCCAGGATCCAATAGCCTTGCACAGTGGACACCACTTCATGATAGTATCTGATGGGCAAGCGATTGTGGACTACAGATTCGGCAACAAGGTGGGTGCTGGCTCTGGTACCAAGACTGAGTCTCCGAAGGAAGAGGGCGGGAATGGAGAAAAGAACACGAAAACCACAATCTCGGAAGCAAAGGAAGTCACAAAAAGCGAAGAGGGAAAAAAATCCGATGCCCTGACCAAGAATGATTCAGGCGCCACCCTAGGAGCCACGAAGAGATCGTTCGGCCCACTCAGCATACAGAATGTGAGTACCGTACTCTGGATATTATTCCATTAGCTTAACAACATATTAGCTTGGGTTACAAGTGAAGGATGGATATCTGTACATATTAGTTGATGCGACGATTGCTCTTGGACCAATCCAGCTGACTCTTATGGGGGTAAGTACAACATCATTTCGAGCTCTGGGATCGCGGGATGTGCTGATTCTTGCTAGTTCGGTGTCGGTATTGAATTAAGCGCAGTAAAATTGGACGCTTTATCCACTCTCACACCCGATAAGTTTCATATCAAACTTGACGGTCTCAGCGTTCACTACAATGTGCCCCCCGTAACGATTGCAGGGGTTTTTATCGGAGGAACCAACGAAACAGGCGGCGAGTATTATAAAGGAGGTGTAGCACTGTCTGTTCTTCCCTACACAATGCTTGCTGTTGGCGCTTATGAGCATACCATACTTCCCCGGGATTTCAAGTCTGTCTTCATCTTTGCACGCCTTGATGGACCACTTCTCACGCTTGAATTTGCGGAGTTGAAGGGTGTGAAAGTGGGCTTTGGATACAACTATAGTCTTAAATTGCCGTCCGTTGCGAATATCCTCGACTTCCCTTTGGTTGCGTCCTTAAGTGCCGATGCTAATTCCGACCCTTTGCAAACTTTGCGAAAGTTCGACTTGTGGGTAGCGCCACAGGAGAACTCGTTGTGGCTTGCCGCTGGATTCACGCTCGATGCTTTTCAGATTCTCACCATTGAAGCAACGGCAATTTTTACCTTCAGTCCAGTTCTTGGAATCGCGATTGTTGGCTTGGCCACAGCCAGCATGCCTCCGAATGTCAAGGTAGACGAGCATCCGTTCGTATATGTTGAGCTTGGTATTGTGGGAGCTTTGGACATTGCCGGCGGTTCTTTGAGGGTCGAGGCACAGCTCACACAGAACTCGTTTATTCTGAACCCAAGTAAGCTACATACGCCATGCAACATCAAAACCACGTGACTAATATCTCATCATAGGCTGTCATCTTACTGGTGGATTTGCGATATGTTATTGGTTTCAGGGTTCACCATACGTTGGTAAGTCATGTGTTGTCTCTACTGGCAAGGAAGTCAATGAACTGTTCACTGACTTTGTACGACAGGAGATTGGATGTTTTCCGTGGGAGGATTTCATCCCAGCTTCTTGGTAAACCTCTTATGATGGAAATGACAAGTTGTCTTGATACTGATCATCTGTGCAGATTCCCGAACATTACTCCAACCCGCCTCGCGTCGGGATATCTTGGAATTTGAGCGATGTCTTACGCATAGAGGGAGAAGCATATTTCGCTGTCACGCCAAAAGTCTGCATGGGTGGAGGTCGATATAGCGCCTTATTCTCAGCAGGGCCGATAGAGGCGCATTTCGAGGCCTGGGCGAACTTTCTAGTCAACTTCCGTCCATTCTTCTTTATGGCAGATATCGGTGTCTGCGTAGGTGTAGCCTTCGTTCTCGACATCGGAATTATCACAATCCGTATTGGTGCCGAAATTTCGGCCATGCTGTTTCTGCAAGGTCCACCATTCCGAGGAGTCGTCTATGTGGATCTGTGGGTACACAATTTCAGCGTGAGTTTTGGAGAGGATCCCGGCCCGCCACCTCCGGTCGATTTCAAACAATTCCTGGAACTTGTCAAACAGCCAGGTCCGGCAGACGCTCAGGAGAAAGCGTCGGAGTCATTTCTAGTCGTCGAATTGATTACCGGATCGGCAACAGAGAAAATTGAATCGTCGAAGAGAATACCCGGGGATCGCTGGATAGTCCGAGCTGGTTCTTTTAGTTTCCGAGTCGAAAGCAAGTTCGCCGTCAAGAACGCCTTGCTTAGAAATGGAGTCAAATCTGATCTCGCAAACGTTGATGGCGGGAAAACGGGTGTCTCCGGAGACGGAAAAGACGCCACCGCTGTAGCTTCATATGGCAGCACAGAGGACTCGAAGGATGCCATCTACCCAGCAGAGCGCACGCCAATATATGCCCGCCCAATGCAGTTAATTAATGAGTTGGATACCTCCTGTCTGAACGTGGAAATCACTTATCACGACGGCGACAACGACAGCAATTGGCAAAAGACGTTGATAATGCGTAACGTGCCCACGGCTTTGTGGGGAAAATGTATCCGAGATCTGGCCTGGTGTATTTTCATTGAACATAGCTAACCTTACATAGATGTCCACGACGAAGATCCACTTGCGGCTGGAAGTAATGTTAACTCCAACGGCAATCTTCTGAGCCACCAGGAGGGAACCGTCAGTCATGCCGCTGGCTTGACCGTTACCAACCCGAAAGCCCTGTTGCCGAAAATAAACATCCCAGCGTACGACGCTATTGCATCTCAGGAATCGTCCATCTTTCCTTTTGGTTCTGACCCCACCCTTCTGCCGAACGGACCTCAACAGCACCGTTGGTTACCGCAACCTCAGCCGGCTAATCCGTGGGATAACATCGAATTAAAATGGAACAGTGTGGATATGGGCCCTGCGCAGCTTTTGGCCGACAACTGGACTACGGCGTTTGGTTGGGACAAAGGCCCAATAGACCCGGGGAAGGTAGCCGGCACCGAGAATACATACCCAGTGCCTTTGTTTACGTGGTTGGAGGCAAAGAAGCCAGATATTTTGTTGGAGGACTTCAAGCAGCATTATCTCGGGGCTCCTTGGGTGGCAACACCGGAGGTTCCTATCGCATCGGCTGCTTGAACTGAGTTGTTGTTTTCCTTCACTGAGTTCAGATGTGGGATGGCGGATTTATTTTGATGTTGGAATGTGATGAGATATGAATTATGACTGCATCTTCACTGTTCTTATGCTACGAATCGAATATTTGATATTGATGATTAACTATTTTCTCTTACTTGGGTCAGTTGATTTGCATTTTCATGTATCTTCGAGATAGATCAGCAACATATGCTGTGTCCCGCCGGTTAGTAATTGTGAACTTAATTAACAAGCACGAAGCTGTCTACCTCCGAATGCAAAGAGTCGTGTTGCATGCATATCCGGTGGCAAGAGTGGTACCCGAGGATTATCTGCATATATGTGGAGTCGTTCTCTCTCTTCTCTCTGTATCTAAGTCTAAGTACACGGTTCTCCCCTATCCCCTTTCAATGTAATAAGTGTAATATGTCACTATCCGAGTGATTAGACATGATGTGAGGCTTAATGGTATCAAATACAGTTAGTGTAGTTATCAGCAGAGCCGCACCTTATTTCGCAGTATATTTTTAGCATATGTCGTCACCAATGCATTTCATCTCACAATCATCGTCAATCACCACAGTAATCATCTTATTTCAACTCTCGATATTTTTCTCCCCATGTTCGCCTGGACAGTAACAAATTTGTTCTCACCAGTAAGGCTTCTTTTTTTGCCCTCCTGTCTAATGACGCACATACGGACATGGACTGGTTTTGCTGAGCGAGCTCGGAGAAGCTAGAAATTTGGGAACGAGAGAAGACACGAATTTTAGTGCCGGCGTATGATATTCAAAGTTGCACAGTTTTTGTTGTGACGGAAGTTTCCGTGACCGTATACCAAGTATTCTCATAACGCAGTGGGTGCGTATGATTGGCTCTTCATCCACTATCACCCGAAGACTACTAATGAACTTTCCAAATCCTTGGTTTAATAAAAGGCAGAATCCAACATTAAATTGTTTCTGGCGGTTCTGGGGGGAAGCACAGGTTATCACTTCCATGCGCCGTTTAAAAACGCCAACGGGAGTCAGGGACTGGCTGACGTAGATTCTCGGGGTCAAAGATTGTTAATTTAAAGCGTATTCATTCCTGTTGGGGACAACCCCACCACTCGGAATAAGTGTACATGACAACGTTACAAAACAGCATGTCGGAATTCTTTCAACGACCCAGCTGACCGGGAGTGTATATGGTTCGGAAATTCCTCTCCAAATCATTCTGGAACCCAACAGGCAGACCGGCAATTTGTATTAAACGGCAAACCTCTCTTTAGTATGTATGAATTCTGCTTCGGGAATGCCCAATGATGAGGACAGCAAGCTGGGCCGATCAGGTCAGTGTTACATAGTGAAAATACACATCAGAATTCCCAGCACCACCCCCGAGCGTCGGTAACATAAACCGAGCGGTTATTGGTGCCGTTAAATGTCTCTCTCCCAAACAATTTCACCATCCCCTCTTCCCCCTCAAATCCCATCCATAATATCAAAACATGTAAACGGGACCGTATCCACACATGCATCCTGATTACTCACTGAATACCTCGCATTTGGCGCATAATCCCTACAACTCGTCGTTCCCACATTCCAAAACTTCAAGAATATCGTCTGCGTATGTATTGGCACCGCATGGTTATTCTGCGACATCGAATTTATCTCCAAATTTCTTCCACTTTTATCTGTCAGCTCGAGTTTGGCGACTGCGGGCTTAGGGTGGGGGCAGGGGATAATACTCAAAATACTCCTGCCCATAGTTCACGTTATAATAATGCACGCCATTACCAGTGCATCCTGGTTTTGTCCACGTTCTGCGTCATTAGCCATAGCTTTTGACTCCGGAGGCGAGGACATACACAACATCGATCCTCGTGCCCGCTCTCTTCTTCAGTTCAGGAGCAACCGCACTCTGGGCAGCAGCCCACACCGCAAAATCACTATTCTCCTTGAAAGTAACAGACTGGCCATTATCGTGTTCGAAGTCGTTTGGGCGAGGGCCGTGGGGATCGATCCCGCGTTCCAGTGCTCGCTTGTAAGCTCGTTCTTTGAAGCTTGGAGGGGACGAAGGTTGGGGGATGGCGTTGACAAGAGCCGCAGTGACAGCTAGGAGAAGGAGCAATGAACCGATGAAGTGCATTTTTGTGGGGTTTGAAGGGGGTGGAATGGGTGCGGTGATGTGCTGGAGACGGTGAATATATTTACGAACTGTAGATGGAGGAGAGACTAAGGGGTTTACCAAGACGGAAGAGTCGGGATCGGATATGAATGCCGAGCGGGGATCTTTAGTGGCCAGGATTTCCCGGAAAAAGAATGTCTGGTAGACGGAGGGAAATCCGGCGTATCCTCCACCCGCACAAATCTGTATAGTACAGCAAGCTCTCCGGTGGCAGCAGGTTCCCGTTGTAGGTCTTATGTAGTAGGTGTGGGGGGAGGGTTCGACTCCGTACGGGGGTGCGGAAGGGTGATTCGGTGAAGCATATGTGGTTTTGTGAATGTGATAACAAATTAACGCACTCCGTGATGCGTGACTATTTTTATCGGACCTGCCCCTCTACGCTCACCCTCCGGATGGCATTGTATAAAAGCGTACATATATTAACTCTCCCTCTCCCCACCCCTCCCTAAGGAAAGGGAACTAGTGAATGGACTATTTTTTGGTTAACGAAAGCAGACCTCCCTCGCTTCATCTCTTTACCATGATAGTACGAGCCAAAGTCAGCCTGTCTCCAATGTCGAAACAACTCCAAAAACGAATCCAAATAGGACCACTTAGGTATGGGAGGAATTGGAATACCCGGAGTGTGAAGGCACCTCATAGAATACGAGACTAGGCCAGATATAAGACCTAATTGTGCAATTCAGATGGCGTTACGCGAGTTTGACGGGGCCCAGGGGTGCACACACTGGTGCATTCTGGGCAATATAATGCCGCAACAACAATAATAGCGGATTGTCGGCTTTCAATTTCACTAACTTCTTCCACGTGTATCATACTCCTAATTATTGAAATCTGTGAGAACGCCATTCCTCCAGTGTCTATCTGTGTCTCCGTGGACTCTTGTTCCAGCGAACTGTCATTGGAAAAAATATTGTTATGTCATCAGAGACTGAAATGACGCCTCTTACAGTGAGTTTAAAACACAGCATGGAGGTGGTAACCAAGTGTAGCACGTCCTGCGCCTCTGGCCTCGGGCCATTAGATTTACCCCTAAAACCGCCAGAAAGAGTCTCATGTTGAATTCTGCATTTTAATCCAATAAGAATTTTGAAAGCTCGTGAGTAATCTTCGGGTGATTTTGGGTGATAATCCATAGGTGGGCTGAATAGAGGCGCTGACGGCGGAATGCCAAATTTGCAAAAGTACAGGTATGAAGTCCACTTTGTGCTATTTGACGATCCATAACAGCATACCGTAAAGTCGGTTTACATCGTTGCAACAGCTGAATAACTGCGAGTTTCGGCTTACTTTTTTTCGGCATTCTCCCGTCGGCGCCTCTATGGGTAAGTACTCTCTATACTGCGTCCTTACCTTCAGGTGAGAACTTGTGATGTCAAAGACTAACCCAGCACCCCCGAGCATTTGCATTCACTCAACAGGCTGGTGGCTGCGAAGTAGAACTCTGGGGGCTATTGGGAGAAAGTGAGAGTTATTGCAATTGAATGTCTAGCCATGAAGTGCAGTGCATCTGGCCGTTTATAAAGAGAACATAACATTCACCGTCGCAGGTGCTTACTCATAAGGCAGCAAAATTTATTTTCTCTTCGAAGTCTGGGTACGAGATGAACATAATCAAGCGTCGACTACACCTAGGTAGGCTAGGGTGGCCTCTCTCGCTCCATAAAATCTGGATTACTTTTAGAGGACATACATCTACTCGCAGCAGCTGTTTATAGTAGAATAACTCAGCACCCAGTTCGGTACCGAAGTTCGGAGACATCCACCAGGATATCTCAATCTCAGTCTCAATCCTTCCTTACCTCCCTCCACCCTGACTAGCATAGATTTTTATCACAGGTGAAGCAGAGGTTGATGGTTCTTAATGCACCATGGGGTCCGGTATATGGTTCCCTGTATGCCGATGTTCCGTAAAGTAGAGTACGTCGGGTGAAACTTGATCGGAGGTCTCCAACCCCCCGGTTGCGCAGCAAAATTGGTCCCAGGGCGGGACCATCTTGGGTCATGTTGAGTAGCATGGATATCTCCAACGAGCTCAGTCAGTATCTTATGAGCACTGTTGGCGTTATTTTGACGCCCCCGAAACCGACAGGTACCCCACCATCTAGTGTTTCAAATTACCAAATGGCAAAGCGTAAGAAATGCCTGTTCAGCTAGCGAGAAGGTGCCACGGTCAGTGTTTCGGGTGTAGAACCTGAACATTCGCGACACTATCCCCGTAGCTCGCGAACAATGGTACGGAATACCCAATTTATTCCGCGGCCGGTAGATAATCACGGACAGGTCACCGCGGCGTGAATTCCCTGTACCAATCACTCCGCCCCATGTCTGCCTCCCACTCCCGTCATATTTATCGAAGCAGGGCACAAGCCCACCCATTGTATTGCGCAATTTATGAAAGCTTGATTAAACTTACATGGGCGGAATTTCTCACTTGTGTTTTGGTAACCTTTTTATAAGCATGCACTCACTATACCTACTCTACTCTAGATGTTGTCGTGGGTTGATCGAAGATTTTGCCAAACGGCATGGCGGACCAAATACGTTTTATGGGATATCTTGTAGTAGCAGATTCTGGAAGAACAGACTTGCAAGTTTTTCCAAACGCCACCATCAAAAGCCCACTTATTAAACCGAAGGAAATCGTCTAAAAAATTAGCCTCCGCGCCAACCAGTGGACTAGCCAAAAGAGTTGAATTTGGGAAAGAGATTGCATGCTAGATCATTTCAAGCATAGAGAGTGCCGCACATTGAGGCTCTAAGAACTAACAAAATACACTTTTAGGAATCTAAAAATTATCACATAAAATAATGTGCAAGAACCAGCCACAATATGTGCTTGAAAAATGCTACAAAAATGGAGGATGTATTTAAAAGAGATTTCAGTAATTTTTATCTCTTCTCAGGCCAAACAAATGCGAAAACATCACCGACCGAAGTTGGCCTTGGTGCAGCTTGGCAGTACTACTTGTCACAGGTAATTTTGCACTCACAATGTTCAAGTCAGCAAAATGAAGCTTGGATTGATATACACTCATCAACCATCTATCAGCTGCCCATGAGCTTATGAGCGATGGGAAAGAATCCAGAAACGAGAGCATGATTTGTAGATATGAGCTTCTTTTACATTCATACCGCTTTCCTACAGCGTTGTAGCTGATGGCACTCAAAATTCGGAAAATCCATATACCATACTCGGAAAATATTCAGCATTTCAATCCCTTTCTAGTGTGGGCGAACTTTAGACAGAAATTCGGGAAGTACTAAGTACGTACTCTAGTTCACCTAATATTTTCAAGCGCAGTTATAATCCTTGCATTTGCACCCAAACCTCAAACAAACTGCCGTACGCCCGTTAGCAGTTCGAGACCATCATATTGCTAAACCTGAGTGCGAATTTGCCAGAGCCTCCCTCCCATATCCATCGTACCCGTCCGCATCCGTCTCCGACACTCACCACGACCGCAAACTCCACCATGAAACTCTCCTTCCTCCCTCTCCTCCCCCTTCTCCTCCCCTTCGCCCTCTCCGTCCCCACCTAGGCATACCCACCCTCCAACTCCCCCAATATTCGACTTCTCCCACCTCGCATACACCTCCGCCCTCTCAGCCGGCATCGACCCCCTCGGCCCTCCACCAACTGACTTCGAAGACGATAATGGCCGCCGCATCTCATTTAAAGAAGGAAGTAGGTTTACGGTATGGGCGGCAGCACAGGGCGCAGCTGGAACGGGAATGAAGATCAAGAAGAAGAAGGGGACGGGGATAAATGTCGTGTATGTATGGTTTCTTGATCTCCCCGAGGAGCCAGGCTGATATCACAAAAGAATGTGGACGAATACACACTGCGGCGGGAGTGGGTGGTATTATTATGATGTTGCGTTTGATACGTTTTATCACGAGTATTTCTCCCCCCCTACCTCCCCTCTTCCCGCCGGCTGACATGTAAGAAAAGAGGGGTATTAGAAGACTACGATATACGGAGTATGCAGATTGTGAATACCCAAAGGGATCCGGAGGAGGTATGGATTTGGCTACTGTATTCGACGATGCAGGGAGGATGCAGGCATATTAATCCGAGGTTTTTGACAAATGTCCACGCGAGAAATGGGTGTCAGAGGGTCGTGGGGAATGCTTTTACATATTTTGAGGTAGGGGATGGGAATGGGGGGGACATGGTGGAGGGGGTTAGGAGTGAGGAGAGGGAGGGGAGGGGGTGGGATAAGGTTTGATATGGAGGGGGGGGGGGGCGATGATGGTGTTGGAAATGTGCAGTAGTGGGCTAGTGGGCTCGCTCTTCCCTCCGAATGTTATTCCAAATGTACAGAAACCTTTTGTAAACACTTTTGAACTAAATAGAAATGTGGCAGAAAAGAAACATGAAAAGACTTGACGACGAAGCAGTAAAATGAAGTGTCGATGAGGTTGCCACCTTGGGGGAGTGGAGGCCGCTCCACCTGGACTCTCCCGTTCCGGGCCGAATGCCTTTCGCTAGGTGTAGAGTCTAAACCAATAAAAACTTAAACACTGGTGTGGGTGGGTGGGTTAATGCTGAAGCCGCTGCTTGCCTGCCCACTGCCGCTCCACTCCCTCCCTATATACTCCTTTCCTTCGCTCCAGGCTTCCTCTGCTCACCCCCTCCCTGGCCCAGGCCCTGGCTCGAACTCAAACTCAAGCTCAAACTTCTAACTTAAGCTCAAGGTTGGCCGCCCTCGCCTCTGCTATCCCTTCGTCGGCCCCGGCCTTCCTCTCCTCGCCTCCATTGGCCGCCCATCGGGTCTTAGGCCTTCTCTCGATCGTTCTCGCCGGCTCCCGCCCACCCCATCGCGTCCACTAGCCCTCAGTCAAGCTGAACCATAATACAGTGCGGGATTTCAACACGGGTAAACAACGGGCGGGTTTGGGTTGAGTTCTTGCACACCCGCAGTTTGGACAGACGGTGGACTCCAGATGTTCCACAATGTATTTATTAATCTCATCAGTTCACACGTCGTTCAACGGGTGCAGCGAGTCAGAATGCGCCGGGCTTGAGCAAGGTAATGAGACGGCTGCCTTTACGCCTGCCGTTACGCCTGCCGCAGGATATGATTTTCCGTCCAGGTTTGAACTGCATGAG